ATCATAATTTTCTAATGTGAAGTCTTTAAATCATTTATTTCTGCAACAAATCATAAATCTAGATGAAGCAGAAGCAGGAAGAAGAAGAAGAAGATATATGGATTGATTTTATTTTATTTTTTTAGCTTTAAAAATGACAATTAATTGTATATTAAAACAGCTGATAGTTAATTTAAACCAGCTCTCAAACAAATGGGACGAAATGAGAAATTAGGTCATTTGCAGAACTGCAGACGTTAACCCTTCGCCTGTAAGCGGAGACCTTGTTGGTGCTCATTTGTACAACTTCCTCCACTTTAGCGGTTTTTAGGAGCTAATCTGTGGCGGCGCCTCGTGTCAGAGCGCCAACAGGTGTGTTTCACAGGTGTCGCAACAAACGTTTACTTCAGTGTCGCTGTGACAACAAAGAGCAGAAAGAGACTTTGCAAAGTCTGAGTCGATGAAAAGTTATGTGAGGCGACTTATGTTGTAATAAATGAATGGAACTAAATGAAAAGGGATCATGTTGGTCAGATTATAACTGTAATGAGACATTTTTTTGACATTTTTGCAAAAACACTTAAACTCAATCAACACGTTTAATTTTAAATAACATTAAATCCCTGTAACTGTGAATTTTTTTAAAAGATTTTTTTCATAACACATTTTGTTTAATAGATCAAATGTGTAAATTCAGGCCTAAATCCTGTGAATTTATTTCTAAAATTAGATACAATCGGTGAAAACGACCAGAAAGAGCAGCACTGGTTCTTTTCTTTTACTTTGATTTATGTGTTAAATTAGATGAAATGAAATAAAACACTGAATGTTGTTATCAGTGTGTATTATTCAGAAGCATCTGTAACCTACATATAACTCAATATATCTGCATATACTCTGGAAAAGCAGCACTTTTTTTTGTTCAAAGCAATTGTCTACATCAACAACAGTATTTTACAACTTTAAATCATAAATAGAAATTCCATAAAAGTAAATAATAGGTCATGCAATTCAAACTAAATTCCCCCAACGAGTACAAGTAGAAGCTGAGGAAGCCTCCGTGCGCCTTTACACTGATTTTCACCCAAACTTTTCATAAATCAAAGCATCAAACTCACCAAACTCCAGTAATTTCTCACAGCTAGATTCGGCCGCTTCCACTTTCTCAAGTCAAGCAAATCGACTCCAGAGGTCCAGGACTGCCATTTACACCCCGAGAGAACCAAACATTCACTGAGTTTCCTTCTTCATGTCAGGGAGAAGAAAAAAAAATGCAGACACACGCACACACAATTAGGGTTTGGCTGCAGAGCGTGGTCGTCTGCGAGCCCCCGTCGGCTGCCGGAGGAGGAGGAGGAGGAGGAGGAGGAGGAAGGGGGGAGGTTGTGCAGAAAAGCAGCTGAAACTGAATGATTTCTTTCTTTGCAGTGGAAACAGGGGCTGGCAGAGGGAGGGGGACAGAAGGGGTGTGATCTACTTCACATCTGGGGACGGTGGTGGGGAGCAGGAGGGTCCTGAGCGTGAGGGGCCGCGGTGGCCAGACTGGATATAGATCTGTGTCAGGAAAAGTTCCAATAAAGTAGGTCTGTGCTTTAAATCTGACAGAGGAAGAACTTATCTGTAGAGCAGTTTAACTGTCAGTTGTATATGTTGAATTTAGAAACATGTTTTTTTTCTTTGCTGCAAAACTGATTCTGTAAAAACATCTGAATTCTAATTCGTTCTTTACGACCACATGTCAAACTATCGGCTCGGTCAGAGCTGCACAAAATGTAATTACAGTGTTCGGATTGAGAGTGATTTAAGGCAGATGTCCATATTTTCTGTTTCTGTTGTTGCCGGTTCACGTCCCGGTGAGGACATCCGGGATCTTTCCGCGTGGAGTCTCCATGTTCTCCCCGTGCAGCGTGGGTTCTCTCCGGGTTCTCCGGCTTCCTCCCACAGTCCAGAAACATGTTGAGGTTAATTGGTGATTCTAAATTGTCCGTAGGTGTGAATGTGAGTGTGCTTGGTTGTCTGTCTCTAAGTGTAGCCCTGTGATAGACTGGTTACCTGTCCAGGTGAACCTGCCTTCACCCTGAGTCAGCTGGGATAGACTCCAGCCCCCCATGACCCTGGTGAGGATTAAGGTGTAGAGATGATGGATGGATGGATGTTGTTGCATAGTCTGCTACGTTAAACAGCAGGTTTTCACCACTATCCAGCGGCGGGCCGTGCATTTTCCTCCCAGGCGTCCCACCTGAATCAAACCACCTCTTAACGCCGTCATTATGACGCCACGGCTACAGAAACCATCATGATTTTGCAGACAGGCAGCACAGCAGGATGTTGCATCACAGACAGGGATCTGATGTAGAGAGAATGAACGTCATCGCTAAAGCAAGAAACCCAATTAAAACAATCCAACAACATCTAACAGGAGCATCAATATCAGCCCAATAAAATGACCGAAACATATATTTAACTCACAAAAACCTGTGATTATCTGAACACAGCCTCCGTCCTCCTTTCTTTCATCATCAGCAGTTCAGTCACTCTGTTGAGCAGCTGATCCAACAGTTGGTTCTGTTCTGTCTCCTGGAGGCTGATGCTGACCGTCGGCTCTGTCCAGTCGGGTTTCTGCCATAAGTTCTAATTCTCTGTAGGGATGAGAATGTTCGCTCGCTTAACTTTAAAAAAATAAATAAATACTTGTACGATAAAGTTCTAGCTTGTGCAGGTCGCTAGCTGCTAGCTTTGGCTCAGCTCTCTGACACTTTTATCCAGAGCGAGGTACATTTCAGACTAGATCACATTCACACACTAGTGGCGACAGATGCAAGGTGCTGCCTCCTATTGGGGGCAACGTTTTGGGTTCAGAGTTTTTCCCAAGGACACTTCGACTGTGGCGGGCCTGAGGATCAAACCAACAGCCTTGTGGTTAGCAGACAACCCGCTCTACCACCTGAGCCACAGCCGCCCAAAGTGCTGACGTCATCGTAGGCCAGCTGGCTGGTCCTGGGATCACCAACTCTCAATCTGATTGGTTCAAGCAACAGTTTCATTGCGATGCTTTTTAAGCCACAGGCGCCTAAACTTCTGATTCTGGAGGCCTCTGGGCAGATTTCTGTGACGCTGGCAACACATGTGATTGGACAAAAGCTCTAATTTAAACATGCACCACCACAGCCCAGAGACTCGCTATGAAATGAGGAGAATAAAGATTAATGAGAAAATATCACAACGTAAGTCAGTGATTCTGAGCAGAGAAGGCCCTGACGGCACATCACTGCCAATATCAGTGTTTTATGATCACTTCATCAAACTAAACAATAAATAAAAAGCTTCATGACAGCAGCTGTGTGATCTGCTAGTGAGATGAACAAAGCCTCGTCCTATTCCAGGAACACCACAGAGTGTAAATGAGACGCGAACGTGTGCTCAGAGTGCACGACTCACGGGTCTGATTGTATCGTGGCTTTCGCATCACGAATTGGTTCATTATTTAGATCAAGGAAAGAGAAAACAAATAGAAGATTTCTGCTGCGACCGTCGGTTTGTTCCGTCTGTCTGACGTTTGTTCAGAGATCACCGGGCTCAGTGGAAAAAGGTGAAGCACGGTGAATGTTGGTGTGGATCCAGATCTCTTTTTGTTTAAATCCTGAGCGTCGGTGGAGGATTCTTCTCTCTGAGGATCCTTCAAGTTACAAACTAACAGCAGCAATAAAACCGTGTTTCACACTCTGATGGCTAAACTTTGCCGTTAATCCACGGGCGGGGATGCTGCATCCATACGGATTATGGAGCCCATAAAACATGAGAAACGCCAGCAAAACAATTAGAAATTTGGCTGCTGAGAAACAGCTGAAGCGTTTCCAGCGGACGTTCAAACAGTGACGTTGCCGCGAGCGATCTGGAGCGCGGTGACAGCAGACTGTGTTCTCCTGTGGACGTCTGCCATAATTACATGTGACTGAAGGTCCCACATGGTGGACATCGATTATATTCTGTCGTGTGGTTGTTATGAACTTGGAGATGTAAAGTAAAAGCTGAGAAGATATGAAGACTTCTACTTTTTCCATTCCTCAGACTCGTCTACGACCAGATAACCTCCCAGTTTGACCAGACTGTCAGAATTTGAGAAATCAGCAGACATTCAGCTCAGACTTCACGTTAACCTGCAGCTTCCATTTAAATTTCTATGTTAAATCATCACTCAGAGAGAAAATTAGAAGCCACAGACGACTCATTCAGGTCTATCAGCTGTGAACTGTGATGCAGAGAGAGTGTTCTTCCTGAAGGGGGCGTGGCCAGCAGCAGCTCAGCTGGATTTAAAGCTACAGACACTGAAACCACCTGTTTAGAATCACCTGAAGATACAGTCGAGCCTCGATAATCCGACCCTTAACATTCCTAAACCTGCTATCCGACAGGAAAAACGATCAGAACCCAAAAAACAGCCTTAACATAGCGACAGCCTTGGATTCTGACTCCGACATGACATTTAATGTCACCAATCAGGATGACGGCGTATTATCTGACTGAACAATCCCACAGATTGGCTACGTTCACACTGCAGGACTTGATGCTCAATGAGGATTTCTTTGTGACTTCCTTCACGTTTCCAGTTCAATGCGACTTGTATGTGATCTGCTGTGTGAACTTCATACGACCCAAAAGTGTCCCACATGCGCAGAAGAGGACACGACGACGTCACACGCAGCGAGCGTGCTCAGTGTTTATGGAAGTAAACATGGATGGTAACGGTGGAGCGTATCTTGCGATTTTACAGTTTTTTTTAAAGAGTAGTCGTTCAACCGGAGCCAGCACATTTACAACGTGATCGCCATGGTTGTGGTGGGACTCTATTCCCCCCAACACCGCTGATGGTGGAAACAGAACTGCAACCACTAACTAAACTCGCATCAGCAGCCAAGTACTGCCTGTGTGTTCTGGACACTCTCGACCTCCGTCTTGACAATCAGACATAAAAGAAGGTTTTATATTTAGTGTCAGATTATCCAATCACGACTGTACTTTCAGATTCAGAAAACTTTGTTTGTAACCAAGGGGCAATTAAAAAGGTACGAAGAGCAGGCGGGGCAACAGTGACATAAAGATAAATTAAACTAACAGGGATAAATGTAAATATATGTGCAAATGTAGGACAAGTAAGAAAATAAGAATAAAAATAGAATGAATAGAACAAAAAAAAAGAAAAAAGAGAGAAAACAAAAAAAAATTAAATTAAAAAACTCAGCAACATACGAGCAAATACAGATAAACAGTGCACACAGGTGTAAATTGGCAATGAGTTAGACATATTGGGTAAACTTTAAGGGGACATGTAAGAATTGTATTAATTTGCTTAAAGCGGGTCACTGTGGAGTCTTCCTGCCGTGTTGTTTGGTGACGTGGCTGCTGAACTCGTGCTCATAATGTCGATGGAGTTTTCTTTCACTGAGCCTCCTCGGTGGCCTTTGTTGTCACATCCCTTCATCCGCGATGAGGCGAGTCTCGTAACCGCAGCAACACAACAGAGTCAGAACATAAAACGACCCTGATTTCTCAGTCGGTCATAAAAGAAGACTCTCACAATGATGCCATTAACGACCAGTTTGTTCTGTCGACGCTGGGACTCCCACAGGCGGCATCTCAATACCACGAACAAACGGGAACTTTTTCATAATCCCTCCCACCTCCGATGTTCTGGTCTCCTCAGCGTAGCAGCAAAAGAAAGACCAGGACACGTGTCTGGAACGGCGCCGAGGGCAGGTGGATCCTCTGACAGGAACTCAGCTCTTAATCTTGAGGTGCAAAATCTCTGACAGCTGCTGATGGCGACCAATAATCCAGATCAGTTATGGTTTGAATGATTCATGACACCTACTGCAGGACAATGTTTCACCGGAGGCTGAATTTTAAAAGGGCACAGAAGAGATCTATGATTTTTATCGACATCTAATCTGCAACCAGGACGTAGCAGCGCTGACAGGCCCCTTGCTCTGCTTAACTTACCCAAGAGGGGAATAAACACATCCGAAGTCAGAGATAATCAAACATCTGATGCGTCGTCACCACAGCGCTGTGTTGAATCTGACAGAATTACTTTGCTCTTTTAGTTGATAACCACATAAATCACTCATGCAGGTTTGACTGATGGGATAATTTAACAAACTGAAGCTGTGAACGGACTCTTTCCTCACCGAACCCTGCGTT